TATACAAAACATTAAATAAAAAAAAAAACAAACAAAAAAAAAAAAAACTACATACCAACAATGCCTCCCACATCAAACAGAGTTGAAAGGTCTCCAGCTTTCTTGGCATCAAGGTGAGCTGAGAAACATAAAATACATCTTAGTCACTGTGATATATTAAAGGAATAGTTAATTCAAAAATAAAAATCTGCTGAAAAATGTACTTATCCACAGGACATCCAAAATCACCAATGGATCCTCTGCAGTGAATGGGTGCCGTCAGAATGAGAGTCCAAGCAGCTGATAAAAACATCACAATAATCCACAAGTAATCCACGACCACAGTGCATTAATTATCTTGTGAAGAGAAAAGCTGCATGTTTGTAAGAAACAAATCCATCATTAATGCGTTCTAACTTTAAACCATTGCTTCCAGCCAACATACGAGTCCATAATAATGCTTCCTGCAGTGAAAAAGTCCATCCCCTGTTGTGCTCCCACATCAAAATCCACTAATATATTGGTTTAGATCTGTTTTGTACGGTTTCTGCTGGTAAACGGTACTTGAACTCTGCATATTTCTCTCCCGATTCAGACAAGATGACTTTGCACTTGAGAAAGCAATATTATGGATAGAGGACTCATCTTTTAGCTGGAAACAATGGTTTGAAGTTTTAAATTGTGTGGATTATTGTGATGTTTTTATCTTTTTTTGTGTCTCTCATTCTGACGGCACCCATTCACTGCAGAGGATCCACTGGTGAGCAAGTGATGTAATTCTCCAATCTGCTCTGATGAACAAACTAACTCATCTAAATTTTGGATTTACATTTTATTGGATTTTCATTTTGGGGGAACTACACCTTTAACCACCATATAAAAAAAAAAAAGGTGCAAATACATACAAATGACACACTTTCAAAATGCCTGCTTGCAATAGCATCCCTATATTTATACAGAGATGTCTTGCCACCACAAAAACAACAGAAATGAAATATGTTATCACAATAACACAGAAATTATGTAAGAGATCTCATATTAAATGGTGCGAGTTACCTGCTTTAGTGATATAGAGGGGGAGCCAGAAGAGGAAGGTATAACTGACCAACTTGGCAAACAGCAGACAAAGCGAGAACTCCACCACACCCTGGAAACACACAGCAGGAGAACCTTGAGTGATGCTGTAACACCTGCTGACTGATGGACAGACGGATGCACAGCACTCACAGGAATGCGTAAAGCTCCCATGAAGCTGATGGCTGATGGTTCTGCCTCGCTCTTCACCACCACCACCTGCTGCACAGGAACACACACTCCAATGCTCTCCTGTCCTAGCAGAAGCTCTGTGTCCCAGCTCTAACAAACACAGTACAGAAGGACAAAACAAAATATCACAGGTAATACTTCTAAAGGAGTGACTGATGGACAGCAGGACAGTGAGGTGGACTAACCTGTGCTTTAGCTCCTGGGTTGTACTGCAAGTAAAGGTCTTTTTGTCCATTCATACCATTCCAGTTTGTATGAACCTTCTGAGAAAAAAAAACATATGATAGATTATGAAGTGAAGTGACATGTGGCCAAGTCCATTTTTTGCTGCGGCACCCGGGGAGCAGTTGGGGGTTTGGTGCCTTGCTCCAGGGCACCTCAGTCATGGTATTGAAGGTGGGAGAGAGCGCTGTACATTCACTCCCCACACCTACAATCCCTGCCGGTACGAGACTCGAATCTGCTATCTTTGGGTTACGAGTCCGACTCTCTAACCATTAGGCCACGACTTCCCCCAAGTTAGAGGATTACATATATATATATATATAAATAATAGTGTCACACTGACAAAGAGAAAAATCCATAGACTGGGTAGAATCTGCATATATGATAATATAACACAGGACACATGGGTAGTTGAAATTACATGTAATTTTTCTCCCTCTTTCTCTTTATTTATTAATTATCTAACTGGGTATGATGAAGGGCCAAACAGGAAATAGTTTTAAGAAATCTGAATATGTATTTATATTCAAAAAAATGTAATATAAAGTTTTATATTCTTAATATATAATAGAATTCTTAATATAAAAACATAAATCTGAATATATAGTTATAAGTCTAAATATATAGATATACAGATACAAAACTGAATATGTAAATCTAAATCCAAACTGTTATTTACACATTCTGAATATAAAGGAATAGCTCTGATTATATATGTCTAAATCTGAATGTATAGTTATAAATCTAAATAATATACAGAGACAAATCTATATATCTATATATATATATCTATATCTATAGATATAGATATATATAAACCACACATGCTAAGACTTATTTCCCGTTTGGTCCTTCATTAATATATGTAAACATTTATTTAGCAACTATTAAATAATAAATGAAGAAGGAAGAAGTATATGTATTTGTCATTCCCTGAAAAAAATAGCGATATCAAAAAGTTGAGTAAAAGTGGTGAAGAACTTAATAAAATGGTGACAAGTAACAGAATGAATTTTTTTTTTTTTTACCTAAAACCTGTTAGAAAAAAGTTTTTTTTCCATGTCAATGCCAACTACCAATATAATACATATCAAAATGCTAAATATTTGCATATATTAGGGCTGGACGATAATTCAATATCAATATGTATCGCGATATAATTTTTTTCAATAACGGTGATATGATTTTTAAACACATTTCCAATATTTCTACATACATTAACGTTACCAGTGTTTCCCATACATTGATTTATTTGTGGCGTTTGATTTCGTTGAATGAACATGAGCACTGCACGTTTCAAACTCAAAACGCAGCGCAGGTGTTTTATATGAATGAATCTCTGAAGGGAACCGACTGTCTTCAGAAAAGTTTCGATGACATTTTCATTTTTATCTGATAAAGTAGCGTTCATGAGCGGAGCTGCTTTGATTACAGCCATTACTGGAGAAACCGCTAGTTTTATCACTCTAAAAGCGCCTCTTGCTGGCAGAGAATGAATTTGCATTTTTAATAATAAGCCGGTCTCCAGCAACTCAGAGCACTTTTCATATTCTTTATACTGGCTGAAGCACATTTGTCTTGATCTATAAGAATAATCGAGCCTACACTACCACTCAAAAGTTTTTTTAACAGTAAGATTTGTAATGTTTTTTTTTTTAAGAATTCTCTTCTGCTCACCAAGTCTGCATTTATTTGATCCAAAGTACAGCAAAAACGGTAACATTTTGAATTACATTTACCATTTAAAATAACTGCTTTCTATTTGAAATTTTATTTAGCGCTGTGATTTTATTTTATTTGTAATACTTTTATTTAGCAAGGATGATTTAAATTGATCAAAAAGATTATAACGTTACAAAAGATTTCTATTTCAGATAAATGCTGTTCTTCTGAACTTTCTATTCATCAAAGAAACCTGAAAAAAATTCTACTCCTTTGTTTTCAACATAATGATTCATGTTTTTGAGCAGCAAATCAGCATATTAGAATGATTTCTGAAGGATCATGTGACTGGAGTAATGATGCTAAAGCTCTGCTTTGAAATCACAGGAATAAATCACATTTTAAAATATTTTCAAATAGAAAAGTTATTTTAAATAGTAAAAATATTTCAAAATGTTACCGTTTTTGCTGTATTTTGGATCAAATAAATGCAGGCTTGGGGAGCAGAAGAGACTTCTTTAAAAAACATGAAAAATCTTACTGTTCAAAAACTTTTGACTGGTAGTGTATGTCAGCCTATAGTTTGATATAAGGTAAACATTACATTTATTTGTGCTGTTTTTTTTCTTTCTTAAATATTATATTGTTTTATAGGAGGTTTCATAGACCTGGAAAATTAATTTTTCAGAAGTTTTTAGGTACAGACATCTGTTGTGGGGGTTCTTGGCAGTTTTTATGAGGCTTTTTAAAAAATAGTGTTCATATCGATATCGTAATTATATCGTATCGTCCGAAATATACCGTGATATAAATTGCGGCCATATCTTCCAGCCCTAGCATATATTTTCAATCAGTGCATCTGATTATCGTATAGTATTATTGACCCAATTCCCTCTTGCAGCGTGTTTTAAAAAATACTCCTAAATTGCAATTAATCACTATGAATATTTAAGGATCCTTTAGAAACAAACCAATAGGTATTAGCGTAAACAATGACAGAGAATCAAGAATTATGCAGCAGCGAGCTGAAAGGTGTTTGAAGTTGCTCTTGAATTTGTTTAATTCCTCCTCCACAGTCAAAATGAGGAATAGAGGAGTCAATCTCCATTTCCTCCTGCTGTCACCCCTGTCCTCCATCCTTAACTCCGTCTCTGTTACTCCTGATTAGCCACTCCTCCTGAATCAAATCAATCTGATTAAGCGTTTTCTCCCCGTGTTAGAAGAGCACCTCACGCTCGACTGAGACTCGCAGGTGTACGCACCACAGGGCTGTTGTCATAGCGACTGTTGTAGAGCACGAGTGCATCATGTTTTCTAACCAACCTTTCCTCAGATCGCTGGGAAAAGACATGAACTTATGTGAAGATCACACAAACACTGACTCGCGCTCAGGCTTTGTTCAGATATACAGCAAAAATAATTTTTTCTGCATATCTGACTCAAGCTAGTTTTGTTTTTGTCACCTGAACAGCGAACACCACATGAAATCTGATATGCACATGCCCAATACAAACCATATTCAGTTGGTTTTTTGGAATGAGTATTGACAGACCTGTCTAAAAAAAAACAAATCAGATTCACTTTCGTGTAAAACGTCAGTGCAGGCTAGTCATTCCTGAGAGACTGGATTTGAAACCCACGTCGGATTTGTGTAAAGTATGAACAAAGGCATATACTACTGTTCAAAAGTTTGGGGAATTATGTTATGCTCACCAAAGCTGCATTTATTTGATCAAAAATACAGTCAAATATTAATATAGAGAAATGTTTTTATAATTTGAAATAACTGTTTTCTATTTGAATATATTCTAAAATGTAATTTATTCCTGTGATGCAAAGCTGAATCATTACTCCAGTCTTCAGTGTCACATGATCCTTCATTCAATCATTCTAATATGCTATTAATTGATTTGCTATTAATTATCATCATCATTCCTGTGATGCAAAGCTGAATCATTACTCCAGTCTTCAGTGTCTTCATTCAATTCATTCAATCATTCTAATATGCTATTAATTGATTTGCTATTAATTATCATCATCAATTTAAAAAAAAAAAAAAAACAACTTCACAAATAGTATATACACATTCATTATATTCTTGAAGGCCAGTATGGCTGGAAATGAAACTAAATACACAGTGGACTAACGTGACTGCTTGGAGCTGAGCTCTGTGCACTGGCGATCTTCAGATCATTAGGGTCTGGAGATACAGAAGCATTCGCATCAAAACCCATCAACTAGTGACTAGTGCGTTGTGACAATTTTGCACCCAGACACACTTGCACAAATCAATAAGGCAGAGGACATATTTACTTACGCTCTATAAGAAAGAGGAAGCAGATGACTCCCATAGCAGCGATGATAACTCCAGGAACGATAAAGGACAGACCCCAGTTAGAGGAGACATAATATCCAGCGATCAAAGAGCCCAGAATGTTGCCCACTGATGTGTGAGAGTTCCACAGACCCATGATGAGGCCTCTCCTGATACCACAACACATTATGTAACATTTATTTGGGAGGTAATAACAGATGCTACAATTTAGAGCATGTAAAAAAAAAAAAACAGCAACTAAGAGGATAAGCATTCCTTCATATTGAGTGTCTGAGCAAAGGAAAACACTATGCTCATGTTTACAGTTTTTATTGACTTTATGATGTTAGTGGAAAGTGTAATGCTTCTCACCTGCCCTTGCCAAACCAGTTACCAATGCAAGTCACAACACTAGGCCAACCAGTGGTCTGAACCAAACCATTGGCCACCTACACACAAAAATGAATGAAAACTGAATAAAATGTTGAATAATTAAATCAATAGAAAGTAAGCAGCAAATCAGCATATTACAATGATTTCTGAATGATCATGTGACACTGTAGACTGGCTGCAGAAAATTCAGCTTTGCATAACAGGAATAAATTACACAGTTCTTTTAAATTAAATTTAATTTGTAATAATATTTCACAACATTACTATTTTTACCGAATTTTTTATCAAATAAATGCAGCCTTGGTGAGCATATCAGACTTCTTTTGTACAGGTATGACACCCACCTGAACAAATATATAGAAGCCCAGGCAATGGATGTCATAGACGTATCCCAGTCCAAAGAGACAGGTGAAAAGACCACTGGTCAACATGCCCACAGTCAGGTACAGGCGAATGGGCAAACGCTCTCCAATTATTCCACTGAAAAGGTTGTATTAAGAATGTCAGCAACTAACCAACAAATTCCACTTTGGTGTGTTAGTTCAAACGGTTTCAGTAAGTTCATTCAAAACTTTGATTTAATATTTTGAGGCATTTTTCATGTATTAAAGGGGTCATATGATGCGATTTCAATTTTTCCTTTCTCTTTGGAGTGTTACAAGCTCTTGGTGCATAAAGAAGATCTGTAAAGTTGCAAAGACTAAAGTCTCAAATCCAAAGAGATATTCTTTATAAAAGTTAAGAGTCAACCACACCTACCTAAAACGCCTCGTTTAAACACAGCCCCACATGTCTACGACACGATGTGGGAAGATTTGCATAACGCCGCCCAAATGTTCACGCACAGAAAGAAGGTGTAACTTTTATTCTCGCTGTAGTATTGTTGCTGCCGCCGCCATGTCGTGAAGACGCTGTGTGCTTCGTTGTGAAAGCGAAACTACTTTGTTTGGCCTAACATTAATGGGTGAGTAAATGAGAATTTTAATTTCTAGATTTCTGAAAAACACTTTTTAAGCCATTTTAGTGCAAATGCATAAATATTTGAGTATTTTGTACCTGTTCTTACCTGAGATACATGCCTATGGCATAAGCACACAGGAAAGAGTAATCCATTGCTCCGAGTAACTGCTTATAGTTATTTCTGTCTATAGGGACAGAAAAACAGAGATACCAAATATTTAATGCACTGGCTGAAAATGACAGAAACATACAGTATATTGCTATGAATATAATATACTATAGTATCTGAATCTTACTGAATGGTTTCCAGCTGCAGTCTAGTTCTGGGTGAAGCACAGGCTGCTGACTGCTGCTGCTCTCTGTAGGCACTCGCATGACATGAGAGCAGTTCTTATGCAGCTCACTCTATATGAACACACACAACACAACACAACACAACACAACACAACACAACATGAACTCACATCTGACTGCACATACAGTGGGTATAGAAAAGAATCAAAAGAACCCCCCCCCCTTAAAATAATCACATTTTGTTGCTTTGCAGCCTGAAATGATGACAGTCATTTTTTTGTTTTGTTTTATCCAGCTGTATTTACTCAGTGCAAAAAAAACAAAACAGAATCACTGAGATGGAAAAAGGATCACCCACTTGTGTTAGTATTTTGTTAAACCACCTTTTGCTTTAATTACAGCCTTTAGTCTGTTGGGATTTGTCTCCGTCTCTACTAACTTTGCACATCTAGACTTTGCAATATTTGCCCACTCTTCTTTGCAGAACTGCTCAAGATCAGTTCAATTTGATGGTGAGTGTTTGTGGACTGCAGTCTTCAAGTCATTCCACAGATTTTCAATGGGGTTTAAGTCTGGGCTCTGACGAGGCAATGCAAGGACATTCATCTTTTTCTCCTTCAATCACTGTGTGCTCAGTTTTGCTGTGTGCTTTGGGTCATTGTCATGTTGGAAGGTAAACCTTCTTCCCATTGACATCTTTCTGGCAGAGGGCAGCAGATTTTCCTCAAGAATTTGCACCAAATACCTTCCACTTCTTAATAATAGGCTTCACTGTTTCTAGGCATTGATAAAGCCTTTGAAATTTTTTGTATCCATCTCCTGACTTGTGCCTGTCCACAACTTCATCCCGGAGATCTTTTGACAGTGCCCTGCCACCCAGAACTGATTGTTTGCTTCAGTTGCACTACCAAGGACTGAAATGCTCCAGCAAAGCTCTTTTCATGCTGAGCTAATCAAAATGACCACAGCTGATCACAGTTGAAAGTCAAATGGCTTTGTGTGGCATTGAGAAGGTGATTAGCTACATCTGATTGAGTTTACAAGTCATTTTTATGAGGAGGTTGATCCTTTTTCCAACTCAGTGATTCTGTTTTTTTTTTTTTCTGACATGTTGGTGTTAAAACTTACACTTGGATGTTATAAATTGCACTGAATAAATACAGCTGGATAAAACAAAAACTATGTCCGTCTTCATTTCAGGCTGCAAAGCAACAAAATATGATTCTTTTAAAAAGGGGGGGCGATTCTTTTCTCTACCCACAGTACATAAAACAAAGTTGACACAGGGTATGGCAGCATATTAAGGCTGACTAAAGAAAGTTCAACATGGTTAGATGGCTGCGTGCCATGCACTCCTGGATTACACTCTGATAAATGAGTTAATATGTGACAGAAAATGGCAAAAAAAAGCACACTGCGTTCCAGTAAGCACAAGGACTGCTGATAATAGTTCTGATCATGCCATCCATCTCAGAGCAATATAGTGTTGTCTGAATGTTATGTAATGAAGAGATGATAAAAGATGGGAATCAGAAGAAACTGAATAATTATGGTTTTGATTCCAATACGGTTCAAACTATATACTACAAACGGGTGGATTTAGTGATTTGGGGTCCCCAGACAAAATATAGGAATGGGGCCTTATACATTTGCACACATTTACCTGGATCAACCTCGAGGTTCCTTTCTCTATTGTGATGCTTGCTGCTGCACAACGGTAACCCATAGTTGTGTCCAATGTTTCTACATTTTTCATGCACATGTCATCATTTTTGGCCCACCCAGTGCGGTTACAGTATTCAAGTTTAAACAGGTTATAACAGTATCAGAGTAGGCTGGACACTAGGTGGTGCTTTGGCGCAATTGCCTACACTCTCCAAAAGCTAATTCTAAACTTGAAAATACATTTATTTCTAGTTATTTTAACTACAAATTGAAATAATGACTAGGACATTATACATGTACACACCTAAGGATTATATCAACCAAAAATGAAGAATATATGTGCAGCGCATTCAGTGGTGTGTCAGAGTTGATTGCCTGTGTGGAAAGTAACTGCGCATGCGTCCTCTACTTGGGTTCTTCTCATAAACGAGTAAGCGGCATTTAAAACAATAAACATATAATACGCACTGTAACTCAATATTTAATAACAGCTTCAGATGCATTACATTTTCATTTGCTACAAGGATACACAAGAAGCCCGTTCAACACGGACAGTTGTCGTGGTAGCAAACACAACAGTAACCGTTTGCGTGTCCGCACTATTGTGCATCTCCTGTATAAAAAGCATTTTAGGGGCCCCTTGGCTTTTGGGGGCCCAAGGCGGTCGCCGACCTTTGCCCAATGGTTAAGCCCACTTCTGACTACAAAACAAATTTTATATCAAAAATACTAGTATTTTTAAGTACATGTAGTCTAGTCTTTAACTTTAGTTTACAACAAAAATAACTAAAAACGTGTAAAGAAAATGTAAAAATGAATTAAAAATATAAACATTATTTCTGGTAAATGTGATACATTGCTAAAATTAAAAATGGATAATTATTTTAAGCTGGATTTTTTTTACTTGCATAGCACTTTTCACAATACACAAATCTGCTTTATAGAATATCAAGACGTTAATGTTTATATTATCTTAATATCTTTATGCCTTATAGTCATGTTTAGCAGCTCTGAGATGAGCAATAATATAGTTTGCTTTTTGTGACAATACAAGCAATCAAGCAGTTAAGATATATTATAGTATATATATCGCCATACACAAGTATACTATACAGTATGTAAACAGTATGTGGATATAGTTGGACACACTTATACATTCAACTTTATAATAAAGCAATTATTATGGATAGAGGACTCATATTTGTCCCCATTGGTGAGCAAGTGATGTAATGCTAAATTTCTTAAAATCTGCTCCCATGAAAAAACAAACTCATCGTCATCTTGGATGACCTGAGTGTGAGCACATTTTTATTTTTAATTTTTTGGTGAACTATTCCTTTAAAGGGTTGTTCAATTTGACAGGGGTTGAGTTACCTTGACAATGCTGATGGGCTTCCTGGACAGATGGAAGCTGGTGTAGAGCAGGAACGTGAGTGCAAACGTGAAGGCCCTGTACCTGCGTGAACCAAACACAGCAAAGTTCAATGAGGACAAGGAAATAGGGACATTTTACAGTGAAATGTCCTCCTGTCGTGCTCTGTACCAGCACAGATTAAAATATTGGCTGCATTCCGAAACAAGCCCAAATACGTATACTGAACGTATGCAGCTGGCATTAAACTGTGTGAGTGGGTAATGACATACCCACCCACTGTTCAGATACGCAAACAACTTTGCTTAACTAGCAAATAAATCAGAAGTTAAAGGGAGCACGTCTTACTATTGCTTACCGTCATACTAAGAAGGGCAAAACAAGTCTTTTATCCATTGGAAGCCTACTATTATTTTACAGGCTAGTTTAGATCGGGTTTGGAAACAGCAGATGAAGTCTTTTTTTTCTGTCACACAAAGCTACTGTACATAGCTACTGTACAGATTCAAAAGATTTAAAAGTAGTCTATACAACTCATGTGTTATAAGTGATGTAATGGTGTACATGATGTAATGTACAAAAAATTGCCTTTTTACTTTAAAGTGTATTTATAAACACCATGATAAAACAAGTGGCAAAAACCATGATAAATCATAAATTCACTGTAAGCGGCCTGTTTATTAAACATAGCCTATACTGGTTTTCACAATCTATACTGAAATGGTGTTGATGACGCAGGAATGCAATGGAATGCAAGCTCTGATTAAATACAGACAGGTGTTTATACACTCACATACATGTACAGTGGGTATAGAAAATTCCTGCAGCTGCTTCAGGGTTGCTGTAGGCCTCTTGGTCGCCTCTCTGACCAGTTTTCTGGCTCTTTTATCCAGTTTGGAGCGATGTCCTGATCCAGGGAGGGTCTGCGTTGTACCAAATACCTTCCACTTCTTAATAATAGACTTCACTGTGTTTCTAGGCATTGATAAAGCCTTTGAATTTTTAATTTTTTCGACAGTGCCTTGCCACCCATAGTTGACTTCAGTTGCACTACCAAGGACTGAAATGCTCCAGCAAAGCTCTTTTCATGCTGAGCTAATCAATATGAC